AATTTGAGGTCCAGTCCAAACACCAGAATAGTATCGGACTAACTGTTCTTGATTTGACCCTTTTGGAATCTGCTTTAAGACGCTACCAAATCCTAAGTCTGACGCATCAGTTTCGACAATAAGATCTACATTAAGATCAATAATTGGAAGGCATAGAATACCAAAATTGACCCAGGTGAATAGATGACAAAAGAAGGTAATAATTTGAATTCAAAATAAACTCAGAAATATTTGAAGAAAATAACTTTGATTGATAATTGAAATGATAATTGAAAGATACAATATTTTGAACTTGCAGTGAGAAGTTTATCTCCCGTCTAAACTTTTTTTACATTGAATTTTATCAGTAAAATGAAAAATTACATTGAATGAGAAAAGAATTTTTGTTGATGTGAAAAATCTCCCGCAATCGTTCACAAAAGATTCTTGAAATCTTTGTCTTTGTCTTGCAATTTTGCTTTTGAAAAAGAAAAAATCTTGAGATGATTGAGTCTTCACTTTTTACTTGGATGAAAGTAAAAAGAACTTCAATGATGTTGTCCACCATTTGTCCATCAATCATGGATTGAGAATCTTGAAGGTAAATCATTCCATTTGAACGTAGTTTGCAATATCCTGTTCATCTTCTTCTTGAAAACCAAATAGTCTTTTTTTTGCTTATATTCATCTTCTTCTTAAAATAATATATTTTCTTCAACAGAATCAAATTTTTTGAATAGTTAAAAGGAAATAGAAATCTATTTATCGATTTAAAAGTTTCTCCGTCCAATTGTCTTGATCAAAGCCTACAAACGGGACCACCCTAAACGCCTTCTCCGGCTGACACGGGGCTGACCAACGTCTATTCAGCAGACATCCATGATTTTTGCCAATCTTTCTTTGATACTTTCTGATCAATAATTCAATTCCTTTTCTTTTTCTATTCAGAAATTTGATGTGTTCAACAAAATATAAAATAAAGAAGACTTTGAATAAATGCCTCAAGATTATATAGTTTCAAGAAGTTTTTTGAACAGAACTTTGAAACTTTACCAAAGATGGGTAATATAATTACCTTCAACCCAAACTTTGCAACAATTTTTGTTTGAGTTTCTGAATTTTGAATCAATTTCATGCTTCCAACGATCTGGGCCGGAATTATCATGAAAATAGTGTCGACACTTGTGGCAAATATTGAATTTTTGAGATCCCCTTTTTCTGGCAAAAGAGCTTTGTCCATAAAAAGATTTTGGTTGAAGAGCAAGAATTTCTTTTGAACGAATGATTTTTGCTTTAGCAAAGATCATCATTTTGATATCAAAAGGTAAACATGTTGCTACCTTGTTGATACAGCACATGAAGGTGATAACTCTACCATCAATATGAGTTATCTTCTTTTTTTGTAGAGCTAGCAAAGCTAAGCTCCATAGATTGAAGTATTTTGAAGAAAGAAGAAAAGATTTTCGGGTGTCCTTACTTTCTCTCGGAATTTCTC